CAACCGTAAAAACCTTTACCCAGTGCAATACCTCTGTGATGCACTAGTCTGTGAATCAGACCAGAAGTCCTAATGTGCCGTATCTTTTTCTTTGTAAAATATATATTTAATGTGGTTTCTCTTTGAAGGCAAAACGGGCTGTTCTAAAATTGTTAAAAAACTAGTCGTTCAATTACATTATAATAGTTATTTTATGAATTACAACTAATTGTACCACCTTCGCAGCAAGTTTAAAAATATTTGTCATGAATGATAAAGTAAACTTTTCATTTGAAATTGTGAAAATTAACAGGACATGGGAATTGATAGGGTTCTTGCATTTTCTTTAATTCGTTTCTAGATGGTGTGTCACCACTCTTATTTATCCCGTGCGTGGCGTAAAAGCCGACTAAGGAAGCAACAGAAGAACATCACTGCAAAGAGAAGGAAAACTTAACACAAACCCTATATCAACCCGTCTGGCCAACGTGATACAGTAGGCTAAAACCTCCTATCTAAGGAGAGGCCTATGTCAAGCAGTTGACTGTTAAGGCTGTTGATGATGGTGATTCCTAAATTAGTCGAATTAGGCGTACGCCTATACTTACCATGAGGTGACCCGTTTGCTCATTTGTGCCCTGTCCGATAAAAACAGGTCCAAACATTTATAAATTTAGTACAAATTTTTGTCCCCATTAAATAAACGATATTTGACAATAACCATGTGGTTGATTTTAGTGTTTTATTTGTTCTCTACTTTGAAACGGCTAAAATTATTGCACTGTTTTAATACACCAGGTTTTCCTTTCATCGTGTATCAAGCAAACATATTTTTCTTTAATTATCCTTATGTTTGCGTCGTCCAAAATAATATTTACGGTAACTATCTCATAAATATCTTTAGCCTACAGTCAGTCGAAGATCTGATTTATAGCGCAACCTATAATATATTATTTATTACTTAGAGAAATTACTGAATCGGATTTTTTATCAAACGTAGCTGGGCTTTAGTAAAAGCATTTTATGTGATATAGTTCATCAATTTCGTTTCATTTATTTATTGAACTGAATGTGTACTTTGTAATAAATCAAAGTTCCATTATTTATTGAGACTTGATTGATTGAATTTAATGTTGAGATACCTACTGTTTTAAACAATTATTGAATTGTTTGGCTGCTCGCTGAGTTGAAGTTAAAAGTTAACAATAATATAGATTTTAGGTCTAAAGTCTGTCATTTCTATCAGAACAAGAAAACATTAAAAACAAACAACTGTCAATCAATTATAATCAATTTTATTTACGTGTGGAAGCCCCCTCGGGCCGTTACCCCACTGGTGTTTACGGCAGGGTGGTGTGTCGGAATCGGACTGACTAAAACCATACGATGTGCCACCCCGCGCCTGTGATAGGAGGGATCCGGGAACTGCTGTTATTAAGACATCCGGACTAAATCATATGCAAAATTATTCTCTTTATTTCCTTATTTCTTTCATAGTTTTTGAGAAGTTTATGGATCATCGGCATAAACATTTTTTTTTAATTTTTTCCGTAATTACACTGTACCCCTAATTGATTTATAAATTAATGCGGCACGGTCGAATTTCGACCTGTAATCAATCACTAATTACTCTTTAAAGGAAAAAAGAGGCTTTGAAAAGAAAAACAAATATCAAGCATTAGGTCTAATGACACTTTTCCTAAATATCCTCAAGTTTCAAGCATATTTCCAAGGAACTTTTTTCTTACCAAACAATATTATGGTTTCTCCTAATTTTCTCAAATGTGACTCAGCCCAGCATTAGGGGAAAAAGTCACCCTAATTAGTAATTAGGTGGATTCTTTAAAGGTTCAAACATTTTCCTTTTAATTTCTAACCTTTTTTTGCTAAGAAAAACTGTCGTTATTTTGCTCTGTTTAAATATTACACTAATTTGTCGAACACGTACCAGGTTTGTTTTAATGTTGGTAGCATTTGTTGAAAGTACTTCGGTCGTAATAAGTAGGTCGTAAACTTGAGGAATATCGTAGCACTAAAAATATTTTTGTTCGCTTTTATTCTTTGTTTAGGCCAGAATTAACTCTGTCTTCAAAATATTGTAACAAAAAAGATTGATACCCTCAATGAAATGAATATTATTCATAATTTAGTAGCTCTCTACTTATGTCCTTTCGAATTTGCTACTTTCGCATGCAAAATTTTTATCATTATCTTATACGAGTATATAAAATTCTCGTGTCACGATGTGCGTGGTTGAACTCCTCCGAAACAGTTCGACCGATTTTCGTGCAATTTTGTGTGCATATCGGGTAGGTCTGAGAATCGGCCAACTTCTATTTTTCATACCCCTATTTTTTTGTCTTGTCAATTTTTTTTGAAATAATGTATATGGCAAAACAACGTTTGCCGGGTCAGCTAGTTAACATATAAGTAGAAATTATGATCATCATCATCATCAGCCTATCGCAGTCCACTGCTGGACATAGGCAATTATAATTCTGATAAATTTTTCAAATGACGTAATCTACCACAGTTTTTAGAGGGTTCAGATTTATTTTAAGATATCCATTATTCTCTTAAATACTAATGATTATGAAGTGATAGGTACTACTGTTGCATAGAGATATATAACTATGTTTCTCAGCAGTCTGGTTACCATAGTATAGGCTTTACCTGATTTAAGATCAGACGGCCGTGCGTGAGATGGATTTAATAATAATAATAAGAAATTTCTATAAAGGCACAAAATACAAGTAGGTACATAGTAGTAGCAACCTCAATATAGGCACAGCAATCTTAATTATAATGTGTTGCTGGTACTTAAAATAGGATATTCTGTGCTATACGTACCAACAACTTTCCAGTTTCACAGCTTAACTATATAAAACTCTACAGGCCACAATATAAAAGTAAATCTACTAACATTAATAAAATATTTGCGAAATTTAAATATCAAGTTGTAATTCCTGTTAAATATTAAGTAAACCTATTGTATACTATACGGATGTGAGGGAATGTGTGTTTTGTATCTACATAATACATATGTGCGTTGTGTGTGTTGAGCGATTGACAAAATCTGCGACCCAGAAACTGTTCGTCTTAATTACCTTACTTATTATTGTATTTATCTTTGTCTGCGATGAAGGTCTGGGTGTTATTTGTGCTCGTTGTTTTGATGTTTGTGAAATGCCTCTCGACACAATAATCATGCCTGACGATGGAGGTTCCTTATAAGAAACAAAGAGAAGGACGCAAACGATTTCACTCCCTACGATCACCGTAATAAGTACTGAGGATCTCGAATTTATACTTCAATTTATAACTATTTTGGTGATTACCATAAGAAACTTATTGTTTAAAGTTTGGGACTCAGTCTTTATATATTCCAGATTTGTAAACTTGCTCATAACACGTAGGCCTATACTCTAAAAAAATATTCTCTGAGAGATGTATTATATATCATCATCAATCATCATCATCAACAGCCTTTACAAGTCCACTGCTGGACATAGGCCTCTCCTTAGGAAGGAGGTTTTGGCCTACTATACCACGCTGGCCAGACGGGTTGGTATAGGGTTTGTTTGCACTTCCGACAGCTTGCTCCAAAGCTGGTCGGCGCTGCGTCTGCCCTAGGGCGACTCTTGCCCAATATGGGTGGACCCAGCGTCGCGACAAGACGGCTGTACACGGGGGTTGTCCGGTCAATGGCACTGTACGGTGCACCGGTGTGGGCGGCGGCTCTGACCGCCCAGAATAGGGTACGCCTCTGGCGCCCTCAGAGGGTAATGGCGGTCAGAGCCATACGCGGTTACCGCACCGTTTCGACGGAGGTGGCATGCGCATTGGCCGGAACTCCCCCGTGGGATTTGGAGGCGGAAGTGCTCGCCGAAGTTTATCGGCGAGTGGCTGACTTCCGGGCGGAGAGCGGATTTCGCCCTCCGCCCGAGGATGTGCGCGAGTGGCGCGAAGCCGCTCGCCGAGCCACGATGGCTCGTTGGTCGTTCCGGCTGGAGACTCCACGCGCTGGCTTCGCCGCCGTGGAGGCTCTCCAGCCGGTCATCGCCGAGTGGGCAGGGCGGCAGCACGGGACCCTTTCCTTCCGACTGACGCAGGTGCTTTCCGGGCACGGTTGCTTCGGAAAGTACCTGCACACGGTCGCTAGGAGGGAACTGAGTCCCGCCTGCCACCACTGCGACTGCAGTGAGGACTCGGCCCAGCACACGCTGGCGGTCTGCCCCGCATGGGCGGCGCAGCGCCGGGCCCTCACTGCAGTCATCGGAGTGGATCTCTCGCTACCGGCCGTAGTACGCTCCATGGCCGGTAGCGACAGTTGTTTTACCGCGGTCGCAACCTTCTGCGAGGTAGTAATCTCGCGGAAGGAGGCGGCGGAGAGGGCCCGGGAGGACGACCTCCACTCGGACCCGATCCGCCGCCGGCGAACCGGGCGGCGGAGGCCCGCCTACCACAGCCTCATGCCGCCCTGAGTGTGGCCGCGGGTGGACGGGGTGGGTTTCCCCTCCACCCGCATTAGTTGGCCAGCCGCGAGGGGGCGGCGTCCGCGTGTGCCGGACGTCGCCTAAAGAGAGGAACATCTACAATGAGACGGAGCCCGCACCAGGAGCGGGCTGGCGCTAGGAGGGGTCCGGATGTCTTAACAACAGCTGTTCCCGGATCCCTCCTGTTACAGGCGCAGAGTGGCACACCGTGTGGTTTTAGTCGGTCCGAGTCCGACACACCACCCCGCCGCAAACCCCGGAGGGGTGACGGTCCGAGGGGATTTCCACACGTTAAAAAAAAAAAAAAAAGGGTTTGTTTCAAGTTTTCCTTCTCTCTGCAGTGCTGTTGTCCTGCGTAGTTTGCTTCCTTAGTCGCTTCTTACGACACCCACGGGATGAATAGGGGTGGTGACACTCTGTATTCTTAATCCGTCACCACACGGACAATACAATAGCACAATAGCATATTAAGCCAAACTACTTTTTTTTCCAAAAAGTGTTTAACGTTTGTTTTTTGTTTGACAGATTTCAAAATCGGTGACAAAAAGATTATAAACGGTCCTTTCTGGTCCGAGGTCTTCACGGAGACGTATGAAGACCACGAAGAGGACATCTCCACAACTACTTCTGAGCCTTTGCCTTTCTTCGAAGATGATGCTTCGACTAATAATGTGACCGCCCAGCTGGGCAGTCGTGTTCATCTGCACTGCAGAGTTCACGACTTAGGGGAGAAAACGGTAAGTTATCTACGACAGTTATAGCTTAAATCAATGTATATTTTAAATCAGAGACATGAAAGGTTTATAAAAACAGATTACAAATAAATCGTTTGTTTACTCTTTTTATATATGTATTTTCATAGTAATCATGCTTGTCAATCAAAGGGCACTTTCATTTAAGATAGCAGAATTTTATTGCTTAATTTTCAAAATCGTCTTAAGTAGTTTTGAGTGTTCTATAAGATTTTCATCAAGTCTGACTGCGGTCACGTACTGGTTGATCTTAAGAATTCCTAAGATTATCTAGTCTACTGGGTGTCGTAACTGTACAGCTAAAAATTAGGAATTCCCTTCTTTCGTTCGTCTTTACAAAAATAAAGACGAACGTTAATAGCTATAGCTGGCTTTTATAGCACTAACACAGTTTGAGTTAATTTAGACTTGAATCTTTGAGTTTTTGTTTCGTTTCATTTCAAGGCTAATTATTAAAAAAGCTTGCAAAGTCAAAGAAGAAATTGACTTGTTAAATGCTGAAAAGATTTATTTTTGGAATAAATTAATTTATTATTAAAGAAGTTGCTATCGAGTGTAAAATATTTCAGCATCTTCCAGCCAGTAGCCAACAAAAGGCCTTTTGTTGTTGGCAAAAATTTATTAGGGTTTTTAGATTTTTATGACAGGCATTAAAAGTAAATAATTTTCGTTCTAATCTAAAAGAAATTTAAAATTATATACAAGAGACTATATTAAGTCAAGTAACATTATTTCACCGTTTTATGTCATTACGCATTGTTAGTTTTTGAATAAGAAGGGTAGGGCACAAACTTAATACTACTTCCATTACGTGAAAGGAATGGCCTACTACTAAAACCATTTTCATATTAACATATTTTTTTCGATTAAATTCACATTCCATTTTTTTTATAAATTCATACCCATTTTTTAAATATATGTAACACAAAGCCACAGCAATAAGAGGTCTTGGTAATTTTTAATTTCGTAAAATTTTCTAACTAAAGCCTATATGCCATTCTTGACTATAATATAGCTGACACACATTCTGGTCCGTCCAGCCTTTCTGGCGCGATTGACTAACGAACGTCCATTCAAATAATAGTAAGATATCAACGTTTATTAGTCAAGGCGAGAGAATCGAGCCCTAACACTATCCTGCAATCTATGCATTTTGGTGGTACACTTTACTGAGAAACTAACACATTTTCGGGTTTGGGCTTTGGCACAGTGATTTCGATTCATGTCTGGATGTGTTATCTATCATTCAAATAATATTTTATACATATTTTTAATAAAGATAACCATTTTTATTGATTAAAATGTTGTTGTACTACTAACGCTATCGGTCGATAATTATAAAACAAAAAAGATATGTGTGATAAATTTTTAAAAAGTGAATTGTTACTACTAACGCCATCTGTTAGAAAACTAAATAATTAATATTGATGGAAACAGAAAGTTTAGTTGAAAATACGTCAGATTTTTTTGGTTAAGCACAAATGAGTAGGTAATTAATTATAAATCACGAAAACTTCGCGAGACCTCCTATAGCATTAAATATATACTCTTATATCTAAAATTTGCAAGGAACTAGGATAGAAGAAATAGGATGGTATGAATGACGGCACGAATACACGTTTAGTTTACTTAACTTTGAAGAAAAACATCTTAAGAAAACTCGCTTCTGCGGGTTCTTACTAAAGTTATCGTGTGTAAACTCTGTCAGACCTTACAATCTCTTACTTTAAAAGGATACCCGTCCTTTTGCTAATATTTGCCTTCGTAAAAGTGGAGCCCATTCAATCTAGAGGATAAATTAGCTATTGATCTTTTTGGATGTCAATATTTGGATCCGCCTAGAATTATAACGATTTATTAATCTATTTATTAAATTTTTTATTTATCATCATTCAATAAATAAAAAAATTCTTACTAATCTTGTTACGTGTAGTCTGTTGTACACTAATAAAGGGGTTGGGTAAGGACTGCTTGACGTACTTTATCAACCAAGATAACAATGTACCTTGGTACCTAGTCTCACAATAATATAATACGTTAAATTTGTTCTAAAAAAATTGTTTTTATTGCTGTGAATGTTTAGTATTTTTTGTCAAAGGTTTTAATTTGATAACATTTTAGCCACCTCGAATATTGAAACTTCTTACCCAAACCATGTAAATATGGGTATTCATACAGAGCTCCGGTAACCTAACTAACTTGCTGAATAGCAACGAAAGAGTTGCTTAACACCGATATTCTATGAGGCCGTGGTATCACTTATTGGAAAACAGTAGCAATAATAAGAGCAGCAGTGGTGTGATAGTTACTGTATTCATTCGTGGTCAATATTTATTATTACACACAAGTCACAATGTACAGAATATAAACTACACCATAATTACAATTATTTTAAATAGGTGACAGGCATGTGTAAATAGATTATTCACACTGGCCAGTGCATACAAATATGCGACCTCCAATATCACTCCGGTCGAGCGGGTCGTTTGTGCCAAGGTAAGGATCTCCCACGGTATCGACATTTAAGTTACAGAGTATAGATACCCAATAGCTCATTATTATATTGGCATCGTACTTATTTGTCACTGGTAAGATATAAAATTACTTCCCCAAGTTAATGACCAATTTTATAAGCGACTTATTCCACACAATTTATTATACCGAAAGTTTTAACTAGAGTCCAGAAAGCAATTTCGTTGTTTACTCCTAATAATATGAATACACAAAGTTTAATTGCTATTTTCGAAGTCAATGTGAACAGGGTTATAACTGATTGTCATCTTGTGTAAATGTTTAGCGTGCAGCGCCTTGTTAAATTGCTTTTGTACTGTAAACGACTTTTGTGTTCATGTGTATAATTATACTCGTACTTTACTAGCTTAAATTTACTTTTCTACTTCTCGACAACCGCGAGGGAGTCATACTTTAGATGGGCCGACTCAATTAAAGGCCACTTACCATCAGGGCCCCAATTCCGCTATTTTAATATTTTATCAATAGACTGTCGATGGAATGTCATTGGAATAATTTTGCACTTTTCGTATTCTACTAACTATGTGAGACCAATGGCAAAACCGATGACTTATCACTGAACTGCCACTGATACAAATGACAACCATTGATGAACCATTGTTACGACATCGACAGTTTATTGACACTGTGAACATATGTTAGTAGAATACCGACCATATATATAATAGAAATTATCATTGTGTGATCGAGATATAATAATAATATTTACTTATGGTCGATATTCGACCAACAGACGATTTCATGTCATTATTGTAACCATTAGTGTCTATACACTTTCTGATTCGTGTTTGTGTTAGTTTAATGAGGAAAAAGTGTTGTTCAAATTACACCAAATTAACCTAAGCCTGTATTTACAGGACTTTTTGGTTTAATTTTTATGATATTTGTACTATGAGCTTTGTACAACGTAAATAAAATATTTGACCGCATTTCACTTTTATGATAGCTATGCTAAAATAATGGCAGTTAATTATATTTGTTTGTTGAAAAACAATGTTCAACACTTTGTTTTTAGATTCGTGTTAACGATAAACAATTATCGTGTTCTATTTTATTTGTGTAGTGAAATGACAAAAATGCTTAAAAAAGCTTTTATTTATTTATGCACCCCTAGATAGAACACAATGTTGCCAGAATATCGGTGTGTTTTAACTTACCAAAATAATAATTCATCACCTTCATCATTTTTGTGAATTGTTCCTTTTGTTGTTTGAGACCAAGTAACTTGTGTGTGTGTGTGTGTCTCTGTCTCTCTCTGTGTGTGTGTGTCTGTGTGTGTGTGGGTGTGTGCAAAGCAGGTTATTTAGGTTGGTTTGTTTTATGACCAGCCGCTTACCTGTCGCCAAGATTCTTTGGAAATGTAATCGTTTTCAGATGAGGCAAGGGTAAAAAGCAAATTGGGATAGGTAAAACGTATGTGGAAAAGGCGCTTAGGTAAGGAATACCATAGGTCTATGACGGATAAATTGTTTTATTTCTCTTAGGAACAGTATTTTTATCTGGATGAAAGATTTCAATACCTACTTTACCTATTATGTGTATTCTAGTTAAGGCGTGCAAACGTAGCAAACAAATAAATAATTTCACATGTTTACGATATTACTTAAAATTATGTTCTTTTTAATGAATATTTCGCTGTATGTAACGTTTTATTTAATTTTAGACGGTATATACATATATTTATATATATTTGGTATACCAATAGCATGCATATGCTACATTCTTATACAGTATTTCTTCAAAATAACCTGGAATGCATGCCCGTTACAGGTACACACAACATTCACTATAATAGATTACAATATTAAAATAATACAAAAGCTAAATGAAATTCAATACTACTTAAATCTAGATCACATGTAAGCTGATCCCACGGACAATATTTTGTCTACGAGTGTCAAATGTCTACTCATCCTTTGCTTGACCTTTACTGTCTTATTTACTGCTATAACGCTTCTAATTTACTAAGAAATATATGCATATTGTTTATTAAGTCATATTTACAGAATAAACACAAACATTCATAGTCCCAAACACGTGCTACTCTAATTACAAATATGCACAGCATTCACAATATAATATAATATATTTTACTACATTCACACAACGCCATTTAGTCCCAAGCTAAGCAGAACTGTGGGTACTAGACAACTGATATAAATACATTTATACTTTTTTTTGTAAATACATACATATTACAATATATAGACAACATAATAAATAGATGTCTATGTCTTTCATATATTTTATCATTCAAATTATTTTGTCTTCAACAGATATCCTGGGTTCGCCGCCGTGGCGAAGAACTCCATCTCCTGTCCTTCGGCCGTCATACTTACTCAGCTGATTCCCGTTACTCTTTAGCCTTCGAGCATCCTAACGATTGGCGACTCCTCATCCAGTACGTGAGTGAGAGAGACGACGGATTCTACGAGTGTCAAATATCTACTCATCCTCCGTTAGTTAGGAGAGTTTACTTGTCTGTTGTCGGTAAGTTTTCAATTTTTTTAACACGCCTTTGAAAGCTTAACCTGTAAATAATTATGTAAACAAATTTTAGAAGTCAATTTAATCCTACTGCTATTTGTCGTATCGAAATTAAGCTTAAGATATATATTAAGTTTTTACATATATCACATCATCATCAACAGCCTATGATAGTCCACTACTGGACATAGGCCTCTCCTTCAAAAGAAGGCCTAGTATACCACACTGGCTAGATGGGTTGATATAGGGTTTGTTTCAACGGATCATCTCTATATAAGATTTGAGCTCTCCCGGACCCAGGACTCCAGTAGGGGTCACGTGGCGCGGCGTTTATCCCGCTTTCCGCGGTGGGCTGTTGCCAGACTGAACCGGGACCTACTAGAGGAGGCAGCCATAATTCACTCGTGGCTGTCTCCTCAGGCTCCGACCGAAGAGGTCGACGTGGGGGCTGGTCGCTTTCGCGATGCGATTACGCATATCTGCGATGCGGCCATGCCCCGCATTCGAGGTCGTCGGCCTCCAAGGAAGGAGGTCTACTGGTGGTCCCAGGAGCTGGCGGACCTCCGTGCGGCCTGTACACGTGCCCGGAGGTCCTACACGCGCAGTCGGCGGCGTCACCGTGGAGACGGTGAGGAGTACCGACAGGCGCGGAAAACTCTGAAGCTGGCCATTAGCCGCACCAAAGAAGAAAAGAGAGAGGAGATGCTGGAGGGTCTTAATCGTGACCCCTGGGGTCGCCCTTACCGCGCGGCGCGACAAAAGCTCCGCGCGTCGGGCCCCCCCCTTACGGAGACTCTCCAGTCCAGCTTCCTGCGAGAAGTGGTTGAGGGCCTTTTCCCGCAACGAGCGTAACACACTCCCCCGGCGATGGCCTCTTTGGCCGGAGACGACGGGGAGCACGAGGAGGATGATGTTCCGCCCGTCCGGGATTCGGAGGTAGGGGCGGCTGTTCTACGGATCCGTTCCAAGAACACCGCCCTTAGGCCAGACGGGGTACCGGCCCGAGTGCTGGCCCTAGCCCTCAACCACATGGCAGACCGCCTCGGGGAGGTGTTCGACGCTAGCTTGGCGTCGGGACGTTTCCCTGAGTGCTGGAAGAGCGGGAAGCTTGTCCTATTAAGGAAGCCGGGACGGCCTGCCGATTCGGTCACGGCCTACAGGCCCATCGTGCTGCTGGACGAGGCGGGTAAATTGTTTGAGAGGGTTCTCTCTGCCCGCATCGTCCGTCACCTCTACGAGGTGGGCCCCGATCTGACGGACGCCCAATTTGGTTTTCGGGCGGGGCGTTCGACAGTTGACGCTGTGTTGCGCCTGAGGGCCGTGACCGAAGAGGCCGTGAGCTGTGGCGGCGTGCTGTTGGCGGTGTCATTGGACATCGCCAACGTATTCAATAGTCTGCCATTCAGCTGCATCAGGGAAGCACTCCACTATCATGGGGTGCCAAAGTACCTGAGGCGGCTAGTGGCAGACTATTTAGAGGAGCGTACCGTCGTGTACGAGGACCGAGAGGGTAATTTGAGGTGTCGGCCCATGTCGTGCGGTGTTCCACAGGGGTCTGTTCTTGGACCCCTCTTGTGGAACATAGGGTACGACTGGGCCCTTCGAGCCGATTTACCCCCCGGGCTGGGTGTAATTTGTTACGCAGATGACACTCTGGTGACAGCCCGGGGGGGCGAACTTCCAAGAGGCGGCGCGCCTGGCCACAAGGGGAGTCTCCCTGGTGGTCGGGCGCATTGAGGCGCTGGGCTTACGGGTGGCCCTAGATAAGACGGAGGCCCTGTTATTTCATGGGCCCCGTCGTGGTCCACCCCCTGGCGCCTCAATCGTGGTCAACTCGGTCCTCGTACCGGTTCGGGCCCAGATGAAATATCTGGGCCTGATCCTCGACGGGAGGTGGCTCTTCGACGAGGACTTCCGACAGCTTGCTCCAAAGCTGGTCGGCGCTGCGTCTGCCCTAGGGCGACTTTTGCCCAATTTGGGTGGACCCAGCGTCGCGACAAGACGGCTGTACACGGGGGTTGTCCGGTCAATGGCACTATACGGTGCACCGGTGTGGGCGGCGGCTCTGACCGCCCAGAATAGGGCACGCCTCTGGCGCCCTCAGAGGGTAATGGCGGTCAGAGCCATACGCGGTTACCGCACCGTTTCGACGGAGGTGGCGTGCGCGTTGGCTGGTACTCCCCGGGATTTGGAAGCGGAAGTGCTCGCCGAAGTTTATCGGCTAGTGGCTGACTCCCGGGCGGAGAGAGGATTTCGCCCTCCGCCCGAAGACGTGCGCGAGTGGCGCACGTCTTCGGGCGGAGCAAACGAGCCATCGTGACCAACGAGCCATCGTGGCTCGGCGAGCGGCTCGCCGAGCCACGATGGCTCGTTGGTCGTTCCGTCTGGAGACTCCACGCGCTGGCTTCGCCGCCGTGGAGGCTCTCCAGCCGGTCATCGCCGATTGGGCAGGGCGGCAGCACGGGACCCTTACCTTCCGGCTGACGCAGGTGCTTTCCGGGCACGGTTGCTTCGGAAAGTACCTGCACTCGGTCGCTAGGAGGCAACTGAGTCCCGCCTGCCACCACTGCGACTGCAGTGAGGACTCGGCCCAGCACACGCTGGCGGTCTGCCCCGCATGGGCGACGCAGCGCCGGGCCCTCACTGCAGTCATCGGAGTGGATCTCTCGCTACCGGCCGTAGTACGCTCCATGGCCGGTAGTGACAGTTGTTTTACCGCGGTCGCAACCTTCTGCGAGGAAGTAATCTCGCATAAGGAGGCGGCGGAGAAGGCCCGGGAGGACGACCTCCACTCGGACCCGATCCGCCGCCGGCGAACCGGGCGGCGGAGGCGCGCCTATCACCGCCTCATGCCGCCCTGAGTGTGGCCGCGGGTGGACGGGGTGGGTTTCCCCTCCACCCGCATTAGTTTGGCCAGCCGCGAGGGGGCGGCGTCCGCGTGTGCCGGACGTCGTCTAAAGAGAGGAAAAGAAAAAAAAAATTTGAGACGGAGCCCGCAACAGGAGCGGGCCGGTGCTAGGAGGGGTCCGGATGTCTTAATAACAGCTGTTCCCGGATCCCTCCTATTACAGGCGCAGAGTGGCACACCGTGTGATTTTAGTCGGTCCGAGTCCGACACACCACCCCGCCGCAAACCCCGGTGGGGTGACGGTCCGAGGGGATTTCCACACGTAAAAAAAAAAAGGGTTTGTTTCAAGTTTTCCTTCTCTTTGCAGTGCTGTTGTAATACGAAGATAATTCCCTTATTCGGCGACACCCACGCGGCCACGGATGAAAGTTTAAATTACCTGTAATTATTAAAAAAATACTTTCCTGTAGATTCGTGCTTTGATCTTTTTAAGTTAAGATAAGATCTTTTTAAGTCATGTTTTTTTGTCACTGTTTTTAAGGTAAATTAAAATTCTGCATAAAATTCTTAGCGGTATGAAAATGCTAATAACATTGGAACTTGTATATATGCAAAGTACTGCAGAATTCGCGCGGCATTCAAGCGAGCTAGTGACAGGTGCAACTTGATTGGATAAAGCGAAAATTCCCGATTCTCGGTTATTTAATAAATGTTTTAGTCTTTTGAAATATGTGGGAACTGAAACTCCTTTTGGATAATTTGTGAAAATAACATCTGTGACATTGACACAAAATTGCTGAATTTATCAACTTTCTAATAAACTAGAAGCTAGCTGGCCTGGTAAGATATTACAGTTATACTTACGTACTATGTGGATAGGTCAAAATACCGAATAGACTTGTGACTTTGAACTATGTACTTTGTGTGTACTTTACACTTCCATAGAAATTTTTTTGGTTTTTATTTTATTCCGAATTAGAGGATATAATTATATCAGAGTGACATAGACCCGTGAGAAGATCTGAAAGGGGCGGGGGACTTGAAATACTGTCTAAAGCTAGGAATGTACTTTATGTCCCTTACGACAGAAAAATCGAGTACAAATAAGATGTATAAGCAAAACTTTATTCGCTTAAAAATGTTGTAAACGTCGAAATATATAAAGAATATGTTTCTTATACTTATACCTACACAAAAGTCCCAGATGGGTAGGCTTAAGCTTGTTACAAAACCATATTTTTCCAGTCATATTTTATGTTTCCACTAAAAAGGAAAACAGCATATTATAATCCGTAAGACACGTTCCTTACTCTTAGCTAGACCCTAAAAGGAAATTTTCCTATCGCCTCCATTCAAGTCGGGGTGACCTTCCCGGGCAAGAAGATAAAGATAGAAAGTGAAATTAAGAGAGGAGGAGAGAAATTGAGTTTCTGATTTTTTTCCATTTTATTTATTTTGCTTGAATTTTCTTCATGAACTGTAGAATTCTCTGAAAACTCCGCTTAAGTGTCACCAGGTGACGATAACGTACAGACAAGATTGCTAAACTTTACAATGTGTTGACGACTATATTGAGATTACTAAGATTATGACAACGACTATATCCAACACCAGAATTACCTTCACAATATTACACCATCATATTTTTGATCTTTTCTCAATTTTATTTGAGATCGACGTGGCTCCTCTTGGCTAAGTGGTAACCTAGTGGGTTACCACATTATAAACTTGAGCAATCCTCTCCAGCTCTTTGGAAGTCACAGTGTGACGACACACTTGTGTCTCGTGCGGTGATCGCTTACCATCGAGCAACACGTTTATCTGCTTGACCCTGAAACCATAACAAAAATGTGTTGTAAAAAAAAGTATTAGGTAAGTGTTTTATAAAATTGGCTGAAAAGATATGAAATTATTTGACGTAAAACCTTTTTATATGATAACCATAAAAAGCTCCCGCGGCCATAAAATAAAAAAAATCACCACTTTTATTACATTTCATCTGTAGCGATTGTTTTGTATCTAGATAAAAATATTGGTTTCTGGAGATATTAAAGCTGACTTAACCATAATTTGCTATAGGTAAAGGTGTCTGAATTCTAATGTTGGTCTAATGGTGGAAAGGCGTATAAGGGCGTCTTAAGTGTATATCGTTGGTAGTTTTTTTACACTGCTGGAGTGGCAGACAAT